TCTCTTCACTCATCTAACCTTGGTAATAACCTTATCACCAAGACTTTCTTCCAAGGTGCCTCTGAGTGGACTCGAACCTCCTGGTTCTAACAAGTTTATGGAGGAGGTGTTAATATTATCCCCATTTTACAAATGAGAACACCTGTAGCACAGAGAGGTTATGAAACGACTCGAAGTAGTGATACTCAGTTACTTTGTGTGAGGATTACACGTGAGATAGTTCACGCAAAATGCATCCAGAACATAGGCCACCAATAAATGCTACTTATGATTATTACTCTGTATTGTTGTTGTTTTTATTATTATAAATTGTGCTGGCATTGCTAGAAGGAGTGACCAAAGAATAATTTGAAATGTAGTTAAATGCAAAGGGTTTGGCGTTTTCCATCTCCTTCCTTAAAGAAAGCCTGATATTATTTTAGGGGTGTGTATGTGTGTGTGTGTTAGGTAACACTAGACAATTCTTATGGACTCCCTTAGGATTAACAACTCCAGGGGAAAGAGCAAATCCCTTGGAGCCAAGCAAAGGCGAAGCCAAACAGAAAGTCAGGATAAACTAACCTGGACAACCCTCAGAGGAAGTGCGAGCCTGGGGACAAGTGCCTGGAGGTAGGCTGCAAAATCAAGTGCTACCAAGAGAAACTCCAAACTGAGGACCAATTTGCTTTGCAAATTGTAAAAATATATACATTCACAAGTAAGTGAGAGAAAGGGGTTAACAAGCCTTGACCATCTACTTTGTGTCAGGAACCTTACCTCTGCTATCTTATTCAATCATCACAACAGCCCCATGAGGTAAATCCACCACCATCAAGTCAATTCCTACTCATAATGACCCTGCTATTATTTTCCCCTTTTAGTAATAAAGGCACAGGCTCAGAGAGGGGAAGTGACTCACCGAGGCCCTAGAACTCACCTTGGACTAGCATCCAGGTCTGTCGGAGTCCATTCCGACCTATGGCAATGCCATGTGGTACAGAGCAGACCTGAGCTCCACAGGATTATGTTGGTGGTACCCATGGGCTCACCAGAGAAAAGATACAGTGAGTCAGCTTGACTCCTTTTGGAGGCCATTGGAAAGCTCACACAGTGAGTGCCTCAGAGCACAGACATGCATCACCAAAAAAAAAAAAAAAAGTTGCCCTCAAGTCAAGTCTAATTCATGGTGGCCCCATGTATGCCCCAGTAGACTGGACTCCGTAGGGTTTCCAGGGGCTGATTTTTTGGAAGTAGATCATCAAGCCTTTCTTCTGAGATGTCTCTGGGTGGACTCCAACCTCCAAATTTTGGGTAGCCGCTGAGTGCCTGAACGTTTATGCGTCACCCGGGGACTCCTTAGATACGCACAGAAACTTCTAACTATCAGGATGGCTCCCTTGCCAGCCACTCTTCCCCATAACTTAAAACCAAAACCAAAACCCAAACTCACTGCCATCGAGTTGGACCCAACTCAGAGCGACCCCTCCTTGGGTTTCTGGTTGCCCAACCTTCCTTCCGAGGAGTGGCTGGTGGGTTTGGACCGCCAGCCTCCTGGTTAGCAGTCAAGTGCCTTAGGCACTATGCCACCAGAGCTCCCACCATAACAAATCAAAGACAGAGTATGTCAATCACAAATGGCATTCACCAATCAAGCAGTGAGAGAAAAAGGTGTCACGGAAGCCAAAGCTGGTCGTGCACAGCTAGCACTGCCCACTCAGAGTGTGCCCTTGCTCAAGGACTCTGCCTATGCAGATGACAGCATATGCTGTGCCCAGAACAGGACCTGGAACAGATTAGACCCTCAGTAATGATTTGTTGGAGTCCCTGGTGCAAATGGTTAATGTGCTTGTCTGCTAACCAAAAGGTTAAAGGTTCGAGTCCACCCAGAGGTGTGTGTCAGAAAAAAGGATCTTCTCCTCCAAAATAAGCCATCAAAAACTCTATGGGGCACAGTTCTTACTCTTACTACACATGGGGTTGCCAGGAGTTGGAACTGTCTCCTCGGAAACAGATTGATTTGTTAACTAAATGACTAAATGAATGAGTGAGTGACCAATGGAAAATACAGAAAAGGTCTCACTGACAGGGCCTTTGTTGACATCAGTGCATCATTGGCCATCAACTGTTAGGATCATGTATCTCATTTCTCTCAATCTGAACCTTCTGACACCATTTGCCATCAGATGTAGCTGATGGGAAGAGGGCCCCAGTATCCCCTATCCCCCTGTAAATGGTGACACTGGCATTCTGATTTTAAATATCAGTCTCTGACCTTAGTTTTTGTGGAGTGCTGACAAATCAGACTTCTGAGTCTCTAGGCCTGAGCCAGATCTTGGACGCTGCTGGAAAATTCACCGAAATAATGCAACTGGGTGTAAGGGAAGAGCTCTGGATGTCGATTAACCTTCCCTACATGGCACTGGGGAGCTCTGGTAGCATAGTGGCTAAGGCACTTGACTGCTAACCAGAAGGCTGGCGGTTCATACCCCACCAGCCACTGCTTGGAAGGAAGGTTGGGCAATCTACTTCCATAGAGATACTGCCTCGGAAACCCAAGGAGGGGTCGCTATGAGTCGGGTCCGACTTGACGGCACATAACAACAACAACACATGGCACTGATCATATGCCCTTTTCAAATTTCTACAACTGTGCTTTCTATAGAGTGCACAGCAATGTCCGAGAGTCTACTATTATTCTCCCATACAACCAATTATCTTCTTGGATCTTATCTTGAAGGCAAATCTCTCTGGGGCTGATCCATGGCTTTTGGGACTTCAGGCAAGTTTGGTATCAAAAGCCCTTCTGTGAGGGTCCCCTCAGATAGTTACTAATGAATTCTCTTCATCATGGTTAAAAGCATTCCTTTATCTAGTTTAGGATGTTAGTATTAACAAAAGAGGGCATTCTTTAGTTTGCTTTTCAAAACTTTGGATCATGCCATGGTCTCCCTGACATCTAGGGACCACTTTCCCACATACTTCCTTATCCGTGAGTAAGGCAAGGGTGATCTACCAACTGTTATGAAAGGCTGCAAGTCAAATTTATATGCCCTTGGAGGACAAGAGAAAATGCATAATGTTCATTAAACAATATTTCAGAAGGACGAGAAGGCTACTGGCATATGAATTCTCTCAATATGAGTGGGCCTGGAGTAATGGGTAGAGTTTGGGATTGGCAGGTCCAGTTCCAGCTCTGCACTTACATGTTGTATGATCCTGCATAGCCTCTTAACCTCCCTGAAGTCTTGATCTGTTAATTTGCAGAATGAGAAATTAACCTTTTCTCTGCTTTCACTCCCAGGGTGGAACGGAGGATCAAATGAACTAATGGACGTGAGATTGCTTTGTAAATTTCAAAGTGCTTTCCACCTTGACTACTACTGCTATTGATATCATTATCATCATCATCACCACTCTATTATTGTTTAGGAGAGAAGATACTGTTGGATGACTTCAGCCAGTGCTATTGCCATTCTCAGCAACACCCCGATTGCTACTTACAGCCTAGCCTTCCACAGAGCAAAAGGGATCAGATGCTTTGACATCTGAATTGCTGGGTATCAAGCCTCTCCCATTATCTTCCCAAGGAACACAATGTATTGCAGCTGGAAAGAGACAGTCTAACTTGAAGCCCAATCACGCTGGCTCTGAGTTGCTGGAATCGGCTTCTTAGAAGGTGAATTTCGTGCAGCTCTGGTATTGTGCCCCCCACTTAATTGGGTCTGGATTGGAACTGCACATTCAGAAAGCTCTTCTGTCACTTTTTGTCAAAGATTTCTCTTTGAGTTGCTTGAAATATCTATTAAAAACCTAGCCTCGAGCTATGACTTTTGAATGCCCAGCTTACTAATTCAGGTACTGGAGCACTGTAAGCGTGCACTACCAGCCTGCAAATGGATAAACTACTCAAAAGACATTTTTCCATCCCTTAAATAGAGTTCCAAGAAAGAATAGGAAATGCCTCATACCTCTAATGGAAGCTATTTGCTACAAAAACAAAGCATTCAGGTCTGTGGACCTAGAAAAGCCTTTTGCACATAAAAGTGAAATAAAGAGACAGCAAAACAACAGCCACAGCCAAGAAGTCATCACCCTCAAAGCACATGATTCAAATAAAAATGAAATACTCATTTGAAAAATGGGTTGCCCACACACCCAATATCACAGCTGACTTCCAGTAGTTGTCAGTTTATATATAAAAGAAAACAACCAACATTTTGTATAAGTTTCAAAGAAAATGAACTGTTTGTTCCTTGTTAGTAACTAATGTAAACATCAGAACAAATAGTATTTTTTTGTTCCAATAAAACCATAGAACATTTCAAAATGCTCACACATAAATCCTGACATCAAAATGTACAGATCTTAAGACACTGGAAGATGAGCCCCAGATGATGGGCTTAATACATTTGTTCTTTCCTGAAGAGATGAGGTATAATTGTGCGCAATCATCTTGTAGCTAGGAATTAAATTAAGAACCCTGAACTATAAGCACTAAATCAAACTAAATGGTCTCTTATCCTATTTTCCCCTTTCATCCTTGTCATTATTTCCTGAAGTTCTCCTTATCACTGCGTAATTTTACTCCCATTCTTGTAGATTTTCTTCAGAAAAAGAGTAGCTTTTCCTTTCTCCTTTCCCTCAGAGCCACAGTTTTCTCCCACAAATGTTCGTGGGGGTGAGACCCACAGACAAATCATTTCAATGAACAGTAACCCCTTATGGGGTAGGAGAAACAAGTTATCGTTACTTTGACCTTTTACAAATATTCAGCATATCTTTAAAATTTTTACTTTTGTTTTCCCTTGAGAAAAGCGAACCTGTTCTAGAAGAAAGGTTAATGGGAAAACATAAGCACCAATGTGATTTTAAACACAGATTTCTTTTTTCAAAGCTAAAAACCACAGTGCTCTTTCATTCAGTCCCAAAGAAGACATAACATCGCCAGCTAATGGGCTGTCCACAAATGACCGTTATTGAATGAATAATAAAGGAATAATAGCAATGTGATTTCCACTTACATCAACCACAAAAATCTTCTGGGAATCATCCAAAAACTGCACTTTTAAATGGAGCATTCTCGGAGAGGCCGTTGGGCTGCGAACAGGCTGAGTGCTGTGGGTGCTGCGACAGGAAGGGGGTTTTCTCAAGGAATTTCACTCTCAGCTGGATGCGGAGCTCTCGGGCCCCCACCCCCACCCAGGCACCCCACCCTCAGCAGGGCACATTTCTGTTTGCTTGAAGTGATGCACACCCAAGGACGTTTGTGCTGCGGGCGCCTGGTGATCAATAGTACCTGGGCAGTCTCCTATTTGGCCAATGTCAAATCCAACTGGAACTCTCTCTACCCCTCTTAAACTCAGTGCCTTTCTTCAAAGAAAAATGAAAAAAGAGAAAGCATTTGTAACCCCTGGGGATTTGCTTTATTCAACAAGAGCACAATCCCAGAGTCCCAGATGATGCTTCGATAAACCGAGACTAAGCCATTCTCAAAGGTAAAAGGATTCGAGTAGGTTTCATATTGTACTAGAAATTCCATGGCCGAAATAGGGGGAAAAATATCCATACATATAATTTTTTAAATTTACATGATTCAGAAACTAAAACCATCTAAAAAGAAATACATACAGAAAAGTCTCACTTCCACTTCTGCCCCCTCTACACTGCCCCCCCATTGCACCCCGTCAGTAACCACTTTTATTTGTTTGTTTTTGTTCATTTGTTTAGCATTTGGTACTTCCTTTCACAAATGCTGTGCAAGCAAATACCACTGTATTCTCTCATATGTAGACGATATTCTATGTGCCTTCTTTTTCTTACTTCATATATCATGGATCTCTCTTTAGCTGGACCTGAAGAGCTTTCTCATTCCTCTTCAGAGCTGCATAAGTTCCCTCCTGACAGCATAGGTTGTTTCCAAACTTTTGCTATTATAAACAAGGCTGAAGGAAATATCCCTGTCAATGTCATTTCATATGTGTGCAGGTGTAGCTTTCCAGAGATGGACTTGCTGGTCAATGGCAATGCATTGATAATATTGATAGCTATTTCTAGATTTCCTCGCAAAATTGTTGTTGTTGTTGTTATGTGCCATCGAGTTGGACCCGAATCATACCGACCCCTCCTTGGGTTTCCGAGGCAATATCACTATGGAAGTAGATTGCCCCATCTTCCTTCCGAGGAGTGGCTGGTGGGTTTGAACCGCCAGCCTTCTGGTCAGTAGTCAAGTGCTTTAGGCACTACGCTACCAGAGCTCCCATAATGGTTGTACCAATTTACAGTCCCATTGGAAATGTATGAGAGTGTCTATTTTCTCCATAGGATTGCCAAGAGAGCATGGTGTCAAATTTTGATTTTTTTGTTAAACTGACAGTTAAGAGATGGAATCAGAGATAGAATATAGTTTTAAATTTGAATTTTTCATATTATGAGTGAGGGTAAGCATATGTTTTCCATATATTAGGTGCATTTGGAATTGTGTGTATGAGCGAAACATCTGTTTCTGCACTTTGACATCCCTTTTTGCAATATTGGTTGATTGGTCTGTCTCCTTAATTTCTAGGAGGAACTCTTTAACAGGAAAACTACTCCTTTGCCTGTGATAAGAGTTGTGAAGATTTCCCCCCATTTGTCCTATGTCTTTTGACATTGTGTGTGTGTGTGTGTGTGTGTGTGTTTACAATGAGAAGTTTGTGATTTTTGTGTAGTGAAATTTGCCAATCATTTAAAAAATGACTTCTGGATAAAAATCCAGAATCAATCACCATCATTAAAAAGGACTTCCCACTTCTAACTTTTCTTTCAGCATTTTTATTGTTTCATTTTTTACAAAATTAAGTCCTTGATCTATTTGGATTTTTCCCTGATGTATGTTGTGAGGTATGGAAGCAATTCAATCATTTTCCAAATGCCTCCCCAATTGAGAGAAAGTTCACCTCTCTCTCCATTGATTTGAAAAGTTCTCTTTTTCATACACTAAATTTCTATATGCACTTGGGTCCATTTTTAGATTTTTATTTTCTTCAATCCATGCACGAAATACTGCATGCTTTTCTTTTCTTTTTTATTAGGATTTGGGTGAAGATTTACAGAGTAAATTCACTTTTCATACAGCAGTTCACATATACTTTGTCTCATGTCATTGACCAAAAT